ACGACTTAAAAGCAGGCAGGGACATTAAACAAAGGACAAAAATTGAATTCTAGAATCCAAACATACATGTAAACACAAAAAGATTTCCTGATAGAGCCACTAAACCCCTTCAATTATTCTGATTGCAACAATCTCACAAATCAAGCATCCTATCTCACCTTTATGGTTTTCCAGTCTCAAGGTAACAAATGATGTTACTCTCCAACCAGGCATACTGCTAATAGCTATAAGGATCATTTGCCTAAAATTGATTTAACCAATTAGGGTATGGCAAACCTTATTACAGGCATCCCCAAAATCTATCCTCAAGGATCGCTGTCCTGCAGGTTTTAGAGGTTTCTCTGCTTTAACACAGCTGAATGATTGCAGTTGAGCAAAAAAGCCTGTTAATCAGCTTTCAATTAAAATCAGCTGTGCTGGATTAAGGAAACCTCTAAAACTTGCAGGACAGCGACCCTCGAGGACCAACTTTGGTGATGCCTGCCTTATTAGATTGCACAAGAAAAGATCTTTACTGTTGGACAGAGTGGACACATTCATATTTTTCCTCAACATGAAATTACACAGAAATGCTTTAAAAAGCTCTATAATGGGTCCTATTACCACCATGAATGTGAAGGGCCACCAGGCTGAAATGTTCTTCTTTAGAGCTTTTTGAACTAGGAACTCTCAAAGAACCTTTTTGTTGTCGTTGTTGTTTTTAAAAATATTGTTCCTCAGTGTCTAAGCAAATCTAAATATACAATATCTCTTGAAACAAAGTTAGGACAAATAGGGAAAATGTCAGGAAAATATACATAAAAACAGTAACACACATATTTAAAGTTGACCTACAGTATATCAATAATTGTAGTTTTTTTTTTTCGAGATCTAGTCTTCAATATAAAAATGTCGCTTTTTCTAACGAATACCTAATGTGCATGTTGATAACAAAAATAAATGCAGAAGAAAATGTCAATTTATTTAAATGTCTGCAGTAAAGTATTTTTTGCATAATCATACAATGGTGCAGGTATTCATTAAACTATGGCACTGATTACTATTTGGGAAGCAAAACTTAAATCACATGAAGAAAAAAAGGAAATCCAAGGACTAAGTTTGTATGTTTAAGGCAAATATCTCTTTTGCATATATTGGTTTTCAGTCACAGGATATTGATATGTGCTCCATGGCTAACGTATTTAGTTAAGCAGAACAAATTAATTTAAGTTTTCTAATTACTTCCATGGCTTTACGTCTATGAAGTTTGGTGTGTAGAATCTTGACATGTCTGGGTGGGATTCCAACCCATGAATCCAAGGACCTACATGCTGCAAGGCAACAGCCCTACCAGTTACACCACTGTGAAGCCCTAGAAATGAACCAAGAAAGCTAAAGCTAATGCTTTTCAATTGAATTGAATTCAGATTTTTATTTGTTGAGCTGAGTCAAATTTTGCTGCTTGCACACTTTTCCCCAGCGAACCTCTGAAAGAAGATTCCTGTGAGACTCTGACTCAGATGAATATTTCCTGTGTCAGGCACTTGAATTGCCTTTTTGTTTGTCTGAAAAAAGCACATGGACTACAGAAGGCTATCACTGCATAAAACAGCCTGACAAAATGAACACATCAAAGCCAAGGAAGACTTATAAAATAATTGTTTTTTTGCTATATTATCAAAACAGCTAAATAATGTCTTTCTGATGCATATACTGAAGCAAAGATATAGAAAAACCCACTAAATATAGTAGTACATTTCAAGAACTTATTTCAGAGTAATCCAGTGTAATACTGCTCTTTTTTAGTTACAAACTGATATTTAAACTAGGTATCAGCTAGTAAACGTTAACCTGCGTCAAATAAGTGTCAAAATCTGAATTCAGGAAATTTGTTCTTTGCTTTCCTGCTGCTAGCATGTTCTCGTGCTAAATGAAAATTAGTCCGTTATTTTTTCATTTCCAACTTTGACCTCCCCCCTCTGGCAGTTAGGAAAAATCCACAGAAAAGAAGCACCTTCTTATAAGCCGCATGGTTCAAAGTGTGGGGGAAAAAAGTAGCGGCTTATTAGCTGGAAAATACTGTAGCTACCTAATATTTTCTTTTATTTTGTTGCAAGCAAATAAGAAGCCTTTATTCTTTAGCCAAGTGGCTTGCAGCGTGTGGCCTCCGATGGAAAAGTGCTGAATTTTTACATCATCCATTCACTTTAAAAAACGTTGACATTTTATCTGGCTACTCGTTAAATAGACCTTAAAGTTTGAGAAGGAGAGGATGCAGCATTTGCGTCCAAATGTCTTCAGGCTGAGCTGTGCATTAACATTGCATTTATATAATGTAATTGTGTGCTGTTCCAGCAGATAATCCCAGCTTTTGTCACAGATCCGAAGATCGTTTTAATGACAAAGGAGGATCAAAATCAATTACTGGATTTTGTTTGCATTGGGATTGTCCATTATGATAGTTCATTTGGACTATTTAACATGAGAAGAAGAAACATACAGTATACATGTGGGTGTATATGTACATTTATTTATCAGTCCTGTTCTTTCTCTTGCTATAAAAAGCACCATGAAGGCCATTTGGATTTGAACATGTGTGGATGTGGATGCGTGTGGGTGTGTGTGTGTGTGTGTGTGTTGGAGGTCAGCAGGGAGTGAGGCTCCTCGTAATCCGGTAATCAAACCAGCTGCCACTGAACCCAACCCCCCACTTTTATACCCCTGTTATTTTTCTCATACTTCCTCTATTTCTTCCTCTAGTATCAGTGTTTCTGACTGTGTGTTTTCATATATTATCACATTATATTAATCATTTTGACAGTCTTCCTTATCTTGATTTTTTTTCTCCATGTTTTCACATTTTCAGTCAGCCGTTGGAGGCAAAGGTTTAATTAAAAAGCTTTTTTTTATTATAATTTTTTCATAGATATTTTTGATATGCCTGTCTTTTATTCTCTGTTAAACACCCCCCATTTATTGGCTTCTTCACCACTCACCCTTTTCCTGGTTTTTAATAAACCTCCTATGCTGTCCTTCATCCACTGTTGCCTCCCTGTCCTCCTGATCCTCTGTGTCCCTGTCTCCATCTACCCCTCACCCTCCATCTATTTCTGTCATGTTCCTCTCTTTCCCTCATCAATGTATTATGTTTTCTTGCTTCAGGACCTCTTCTATATTACTTCCCTACTCCTTCATTTCACATTTACTGTCTTTTATTTGTTTGACTTAAAGATGAAGTCACCACCACACTTAGAAATTGCTTCCTCCAGCCAGTACAATCCCTTTGTCACACCAGATTGCTTTACATCGGACAATGCAGTCTATTGTGTATTCTGTGTTGATGATGAAACACAAGTTGTGTCTGTGGATGAAAGGGCTGTTGGTCAAGTGTGAACTGCTGTCAACCAAAGGTACATAAGTGGAAATGGGAGAGAAGAAACAAAATGCCATGCATCTATCAGGAATGGAGAATTTAAAGCTGAATCAAAGCTTACAGATGGAATATGAAGAAAGACATTTTAACTGGTGAAGAAGAATACCAAAACTTACAGGATGGCTAAGGGAGATCTGGGCAGTGAATTTGGGCCAAAAAAAAACAGCATTAACAGGAGAAGGAACAAGTCAGGACCAGTGAAAAGGGGAGATCTTGAATACAAGCGAAAGTCTAGTGAAGGAATAGCGAAAAACGTGTGAGCATAATCAGATTAAGAATGAGCAACAGATGAGCTCTGTGAAGGTGGAGAGGGCTAAAAGGAAGAGAGAAGCAGGAAAGGAACAGGAAGGAATTCCCACTGAAGACAAAAAAAGACAAAAATATACTTAAACACATAAATAAACCAGGAGAATAAGCATAAAACACAGAAATAAGCAGAGAACCTGACAATAAGGGAGACTGGGAAAATAATTAAAAAAATAATAAAACTAAGAACATCTAAAATACCAAGGAAGCAAACAAGCAAGGACAATCAACAAGCAAGGAAATGTTCAAAAATGCAAAGAGAAGAAATCAAAACCCAAATACCTCTGGATATTGACAGAATCTTGCAAAATGCTTTAGAAAATCTTTCAAACCCTTAATGCAGTGGAGCAGTCTGTGTGATCAGAATCAGAATTACTTTATTAGACCCTTGTGGGAAATTCTTTTCTTGCAGTGCAAACGATTACAGAAGAGAGAAAAATAAGATTTTAAGTACAAATAAGATATAAGAATAAAATAAGATGAGGATAAGAAAATACTTGGCTATGTACGGCATTATCGCCATATTATCTCTTGGATTTAGGTGTAACCATCTAAAGTAAACAGAGGGTTAACTCAGTGATCAAGCTTTCAGGAATTGTGTCAAATTATGGGAATGAGTTCTTCAGAAAAAAATATTTATTTTTTTCTCTACTGTGCTTTCTTGGATAAGAAAACTGTTAATTAATATAAAATGTTCCTTTTTCTAAACAAGTTTTTAAACGACTTTTGTCATGAAGTATGATTAGACTAAAAATAAAAATATACATATAAGAATTAAAGTATTCTTATTTTATTCTCTAATGAGTTATACCTCTTTCTATGTAACTTTACCAAGTTATGGTAAGCATTTACTTATAGTTCACCTTTTAAAGGTATAGTCTTGGCCCCAAGAACTAACGGTCATGGTGTGCAATTGTCATCTGTAGCCTTCTACAATTATTGTTGATTAATACTGAAAATATTGCATAAACAGCATAGCATGGGCAACAAATATGCAGTTTATGTCCTTTATTGTATTTTAGTTGGCTTGAACCTGAGATATACATATTATTTAAACAGTTTTAGTTTTTTTTATTGACTGTCATTAGATCAATTTGTTGTGTTTTATTTTTGATATTTTAAAAAGATAAATAGATTGCCAGGAATTTTCCTCCACAGATGGCCTTTCTCGTTCTTATCTACCGTATTTTCCATTTTACCAGCCATGTGTATTACCCAGAAACAAAAACACATTTAGATTAACCTTAGTTTTCCCCCTCTCATCTGTGTCTTAACCTTTCAGATGGCGTCCACAGCATCTCAGCCCAGTGTGTTCTACGTGTCCTCATCATCACAGAGGACATGCTGGGCAGTAGTGTCACCGTCCGTCTTCAGAATATGTCTCAGGAGCACTTCCTCTCACCGCTGTTGGGCAACTTCCTGGAGGGCGTGTCTGCGGTGCTCTCGGTGCCAGTGGAGGACGTTTTCATCTTCAACATCCAGCCAGACTTGGACACAGCACCGGGACGCATCCTGAATGTCAGCTTCTCTGCCGCATTGCCAGGCGGCCATTTCTTCCCCTCGGAGGCTCTGGAGGAGCAGCTGTATTTGAATCGGCCCAGGCTGACATCACTGACGCAGATGGAGGTTTGTTTACATGAAACAACACAGATATGCTCATTCATAGCCAACAGACAAGTCACTGCTGTATTTAGTTCTGTGTCCATATTATTCAACTCAAAATCCCATTGTTCAGCCATGTGTTGATCTGATTGAAAACCATATTTATGTGTTCATTTTAAGGGATGTTTAGTTCCTTTCTTGCTCATGATTGAACCCAAGTAATATCTCTGCTATAATACAACAACATAGAAACTGATCATAAGATTTTAAAAGGGATACATTTTGATGAAAATATATTCCAACTGAATAACAGATATTTTTAAATCTGTGTTGTATGTAGTAGTTATTTCTAGACATCCAAATAGACATTATGTCTTTAGGTCCTTGTGAAATGTCATTGACTTTCTGCAATTAAAATAACTGCATCATATTGAGCAGAAACTCTAGTCAAAGTCAAATAATTGTATGAAATATTATGAATGAATATGAACTGATAAATTACTTTAATTCAATTTAGTAAAGAAATTACACACTTAACACATGCAAACATTGGGTATAATTGATCAAAGATATAATTATATGTACAATTTATTTCTTGTTTATAACATAATTTAAAGAAGTGAAACTTATTGAAGTACTCCCTTTTTCCCTTCTTTAAGTCCTTTAAAACAACTCCCCTATTCCCAATCAACTTATGAATCCATGCTCCAAAAATTCATTAAGTTAGCTAATAAATAAAGTTATGATCTAACTATTATATAAACGTATATTCCTTTACATGTGCCTACTTACCGGTACATTTTCATTCATACAATTATTACCCATAGCCCACACCACCACAACCATTGCAAAAATATTATACACCCATCTGTAGTCCATTAAGAGTCCCCTTTGATGTTCACCTCCCCCCCCCATCTCATATATTTTCAAGAAAACAAGCTTGAGCTTTTACCTAAGCTGTATCATGGACACATCTTTAATTAAAGATAACATTTTTGTTCTATGCTTTCACCACAATTATTGAAACCCAGTCTTTTCAAATTTGTTTGAGCACATAAGATTTAACTTTTTTTTTATCAGACATTAAAGTAGGAAAAACTTAAACAAACAAAGAAAAAGCCACAAAGAATTTGAAGAATACAACGGTGTTCTAATAATTGTTTCCTTAACTCTATTTAATCATTAGAATGTGCAAAATACTAAAAGAGGATATAAAAATATTATACCTATCACCCAAAATGCAATTTATTTGTCAAAACTGTTTATATTTAGCTGTATTGCCACATCAAGATATGTGGACCAGCTTAGCTTAGCTTAGCAGTAGAGACATATTGTATATGGAACAATAATATTTTTGAGCTGATTCATGAGCTGATGGCTACCTTGGATTTTCAATATGCCATATGGATATGCTACATGTTCAGTGAAATGTTCGCAGCACTGCATTATCTTACAACTTGATCGTTCTAATGCAAAATTACAGCTAATAATCCAGTGAATAAATGTGGTGGCAATAGAAATAATAGTTTACATAACAAACTGATGCGCTGGTAAATATGGAGATACTCTTTTTCCACAGAGTGATTAACATGGTTATCTGTTTATTAACCAGCAGTAAAATTACTTATTGTGAAACATTATGGAATAAATAACACCTCTGTCTGTACGTTGCTAAGGACCACTGTCGCTAAGGACCACTGTCACACATCTGTGGTGCTGAAAAAGGGACAATCTGCAGCTGCCATTGTTACCTGTCCTTGTTATACAAGTTATGCATTTAGGAATGACTAATATTGGTGACAGAGAATGACAGAAAAGTTTTAGCTTCTCTTTGTTGGTAAGCAGTTGTTGACGTTTTCCATTTGAACTCAGGAGCCAACACTTCTTTTTCCCTTTTTTTTTTTTATAAACTTAAAACAATATCATTGTCTTCAATACAAAAAACCTAAGAAATCCATGAAAAACCAAACATTTTCCTGTTTTTTGTGGTATCTGAAAAGATGATGTGAAAGATGTTTCGGAGCAACATTCCTTTCAAAAGTTGAAACATTAACCTTGATCGGTTGTGACAGTTGGAGTGATTTAGATGCAAGAAGGTACACTGCTTTGTTTGTACCTCTAAGTCATCCTATAGGCAATAGGTTTTTTTTTTGTTTTGTTTCTTTGTTCATTCACATGAACAGAAACGCTCCTTTCTTCACTTGTCTGCCTGCGTCTTTTTCACATTGCAAACACATATGCCATCTGTGCCAATGTGTGATTGCCAGTTATGGTTGTTTCTGGGAAGTAAAATAAATGTTATAATCTCCATGCTTATTTAAATTCAGCAGTCCACACCTCTTTTGCACCTGCTATCAACTGCACATGCAATTTTAACAGATCAGCCGCAGCACACCCACTAATTTCATGTACATTTATTTTTCTTAATCAGTTTAGCATAATTTAGCATAATATAACTTATTTGGAATCTAAGTAGATTAGGTCGAGAGGGCTGCATCTATACATATTAATGTAAAGTTGTGTAAAAAAAATGTGCAAAAGTGATGGTCAAGTCTAGATCAGATAATTGGATCCCTGTGAGCATTTTTAACAGAGCCAAAGAGTTTGTAGGTGATTTTCAAATCAGTGCTTCAGGATCCACTGCACACAAATCTATGACATTGGCTAGAGCTGTGATATCATTAGTGTTTAGCCACTCCAATGCCAGGATCATTCTACCTGGGAAAGTGATTCATGTTTATATTTACTCTGAAAATCAAGGGGAGTGAAGAGGCACACAAATTCGTTTCTTGAGGCATATCAAGCTAGAAGCCCTGTTACAGCTGTGCTGACAAGCTTTATGGAGATACTCACTTAAGTTTCCAACAGGACTTGGCAGCCTTCCAGTAGTACAAATGCACCAGTATCTGCTTTAAAGGCCACTAAATGGATATTCTTTTAGCACAAAACTGGCGTGACTTAATCCCCTCAGATAACTGATATAGTTTTATCAAGATAATGATTAGAAAAACCAAATATAACAACGCAAATGACTTGAAGATCACTTTAAAGCAACCTGGGCTTACTTAGCCCCTCAGCAGAACCACGGGAGGGTCAAATCATCTGTCTCTGTGTTGTCGCCAGCTGTAGGCCACAATCATTATGGTTTAAAATAATGATTATATAACATATTCCTCTATTTACATAATCTAGTTTTGAAATTAAATTACTGAAATGAAAACATTTTATAATGCAGCTAACTCAAGAAGTTCAAATTTCTCAGAGTAACAAGATCGATTTCAGGAATATCTCCCATGAATTGACAGAAATACAAACCAGATGCTAATCACACTGTAGCCATATGGCTTCATGCAAGACTTACACAAATATCAGCACCATATGTTACCATGGATGAAATCCACATAGTACCTGCACACAACACTGGGCATCAGTTACTGTATCTACATGTGTACTCAGCCCTGAGCATTTACGCTCACACACAGAACTAAAACACACAGATACACACCTGCACACGGAAGCACACAAAAACATGGATGCACACAGATGTTCTAATGAATCGGAACATCATAAAAATCTCCAGGGAAAATATTTATTAGAGGAAGCAGAGGAATGCAAGCTGGGGCGTTTATTTAAAAGTATAAAGACAACACATAAAATACAAAACAATTAATGTGAAGAATCTTTAGTTTTATCTAATTTAACAGATCTAATGGAAAAAAGCACCAGTTTTTAAAAACATTACTGACTATTTAAAGCTGTCCTCATTCTGTTCATGTTGTGGCATATTTCTAATCAGTAATTAAGACACTCTAAGGACAAGCTGTTGGTCAAGCATAGTTTTAGCTTCAATCAGTCACACCCATCCTAAAATCATAAATTTACCTTTGAAAAGAATAAAAAAAAAAGGAAATCTATTTCCTCCATCAATTTTCATATTTTAATCTGTGTTGATCTATGGGCGAGAGGCTGGCTACACCCTGGACTGGTGTCCAGTCTGTCCATGGCAACACAGAGACACACAACAGAGACACACAACCATGCACTCCTGGAGATAACCCGCATATGCACGGGGAGAACATGCAAACTCCCCGGACCGGGAATACAACCTAGGACTGTTTCTCTGCAAGGCAACAGTGCTACAAGCTGCTTCACCGTGCAGTCCAGAAATCTATTTCTTTTTACACTTCTAACAAAATTAACAACAGAGCTCATGTTAATGAAAACAATGTCCAATGTTTACATTTGTTTTAAAACAAATGCAGCATTTAGAAATGCAGATGAATATAAGGCATCATTTCCCTGACAATAGAAAGTAATGGTTCTCATGGGAAGGGCAAATATAACCTTAGATACTGAAGGAAATTTGCACATAAAAGACAGAAAGTGATTATACATGTGCTGAAAACAGGACAGTTAGAGGACTCTATTAAAAGTTTAGAGAGGAACTCTAGGAACCAAAGTTTGTCAAGGACAAAGTGAATCACAACCTTTAAAATAAGAAGGAATATGATAGAAACTAAGTGACAGGAATAAACTGTCAATGAAAAATGCTAAGTCATTTCATACAAGCTGTTCAAATAGATCATAAAAACTATATTTTCACCAGTTATAACATAAAACCAGATATAGATGGAGCTAAGCATCTGACACAGAGTAAGGATTATGCACTAAGCAGCTGCCACGGAGGTTTTTAGTGTAATCAGATTAATAGAAAAATATATTTTAATAATGGAATAAAAATGATTTTCACTGATTAACATCTTATAATCTGCAGGAACAGATGTAAGCTGGACAAACACATTGGAATCTTTCAGACATTTCAAAGAAATTTGGAACCTTATTTAAAGATTAGAGCACCAACCAAGCCAGTGTCCTTCATGTTTTAGATGTCTGAATAGTTCATTTTCTTCCTCGGTATGCCATGAAGTTCTGCTTTGGCCTTGAAATGAAGCATCCATTTAGTTCATATGCGGTGAAGCAGAGAAATATATAAAACATGGAGTCCAAGAAGACAATAGATACCAATGCCCTAATGGTTTCCTTAGGAGCTGCTGATTAAGAAGGATATTGTGGCCATAAGGTAGGGCTCTTCTTGTACATCTAACTTCAGTTGTTACTTACCACACTCTAAGAAATGGCAAAAGTAATGCTGCAAGCTTTATGAAACAGTTTTATGGTCAAATAGGTTCAGAATGTCCTTTTTATATGAACATAAGCAGGTTTAATTGTATCTAAATAACAAGAAGATATGAATAGGTATATATGCTAATTAATATTGTCCACAGTTACTTCTGTTATAAGAAATGAAATGGGGGATATTATTATTATTATTGTTACTGTATGTAACTTAAGTTCCCATTAATAGTTAAAATTACCTTTTCATGCTGGACATAGACAAGTGTGTTTCTAAACAAGAACAGATTTAATTTGACTAAAGATAACCCAAATACTTCAACATAATCCTGTCAGTTTACCACTCAATATTTATTTAGTAAAACTTGGAGGGATTGGACTTTTTGTTATTTCCCAGAATGCTTATTGAGGACCTTTTATATGTTCTGTGGCACAATGAGTGAGATGGAAGTTCTCAATTATGACTTTCTGTTAAGACTGATCTGTGAATTTCTTTAAATGTCATATCTGATTATCCTAGTTATGTCAACTGGTTCTGCATTTTGTGTATATTAAAATCTAATAATTAAATTCTATAACATTAATCAAACAAAACGGCATTGCTAACCCTTAGAATCTTTTAAACTTAACTTCACAGCATTAAGTTATATAAACTTAATGTTTACAATACTGTATTAATTACTAATAGTTTTAGTAATTGAAGTTGAAAGTAAATATATAAAACTCTTTGCATTAAATCTGCAGAGTTTAGTGGAACCAGTAGACACAATTTAAATAAAGTCAACATCATTTTTTAAGCCCACTTTGTCCAATTATAATTGAATTATCAATTTTCTATATTTGCTTTAAATAAATTTGGTAATATGTGACTTGAATAAATATCTACCAGTGGTATTTTCTATTGAGTTATATTGGCAGTGAAGTGAATATAAGATTCACTTCTAATAAACGACTGTGATTTCTTTTCGAAAATTATATTTAATCAAATTATACGTGCGATTTAAGAATCTTTATGACCATTCTTCTCTATAATTCTTGAAGGTCCTCAACAACAAATTAAAATACTAATATGCACTGATATATATAGATTGGTATGAAATTATTTGTTGACAGATATGAAAGGAACTAGGAAAAGACAAAAAAGTAAATCCTAGATGAAAATTGGTTGCTAATAATAAGGTTAGCTAAACTCACTGCTACTTTAATGCCAATGATACTTTGACTAAATTATTAGTTTAGAAGTTTTCCTTAAGTAACATCAATATTGACATATGTTAATTTTAACTAATATATTAATGTGTATCAAAATCCAAATGAGTCTTATTTTAGCAAATTAATGTAGAAAAGATAAAAAAAATCTTTAAAATGGTAATATAATGATCATGCCATCATGCAAAGAATTATCTTATTCTACTTTAATCTTTTTAGCGTTACTTTTTTAAATTAGCTGATCGAATTTCCCAAATATTTAAAGTTAAAATAAACCAACTGAACCAAAACGAAAACAGAACACTTCACATTTTTTGCTTTTTCTGTAGGTACCAGTTATCATTACTCAAAGTTGCAGGTTTCGTTTTCCAGCTTTGTCACTGGAGCCCATCTATCTCTGCATTAATTCTTCCTACAATTTACAGCCACTACTTAGAGAAAGTACTGAGAGGTAATTGGGGTTTTGGTTGAAGGTATTGGTTTTGTAATGGAATATACTTTATTGTATCGATTTGCCTTCATAAGAAAAGAGTTTGAGTTTTTCCATCTCTGCTTATGATGACTCACAGGAATATCCATTAAAAGAAGCATTAAAGTTTCCATTGATCTCAACTTGTGTTTATGCAAAGCTGGCAGAAGTATGGATTAAATGCAGGAAAAAGTAGGAAGGTGTAATCCTAAAGAACATAGACTTTAATTGTGTAAAAGCTTTGAAGAGAAAACACAAACTGTGGGGACCATAATGATGGAACAGTTAAAGGTATAGTGGAGGATTTTTGCGAATTTAAAAGTTGCTGTTTGCATCGCTCATACAAGTTTTTTTTTTAAAAAGGGATTTGCAATTTTTTCACCATGTCAGATTAACCACTGGTAAGTGAAAATGGTAAAGGACAGCCTTACATAAACAGATCCCAGAATGATTGACAATTAGGAGGACCACTTATTTTGATGATCCACCCTGAAAAAGAACATCCTCCACTATACCTAACAGGTGATCTGCAGATTGAGCATGAAAACCAGGAAGCATATAAACCAGAGGGGCTGACTGGAGACAGAGATGAACTCTAAAACAGTCGTGCTTTAAATTTATTAGCAAAAAATCCTCACAATAACCTAAAATACATTGGAAAAAAAAAATCCAAGAGGAATTTTAGTAATTACAGCAAGGTGTTTTTTCTTTTCCCCAATTAGATGTATTTACTACATTTACTTTAAGTCCACAAAGCTTTTAGGTGTCTCTTTGCAGGTTTTGGTATGGATAATAAGTAGTAGGCTCAGTAGCACCATTTGATAAAGACAAGGATGACTTTTGCTTTAAAAAGGAAGTTTATTCCTGGACTAAAATAGTACACTTTGATTACACTTTTCAGAATTCAGAGGGTGTTGTTTAAAAGGATATTAATATGAGTAGGACCAAAGCTTTGCCAGTGTGTCTATTAGTTACTCTGCTGAGCAATGATGGTTGGTACATGTCTGGATCGAGGTTGTTCTCCACAGATAATTTTCTCTTTTCTCTGTCCTCTTCCATTTCTCCAGGTTCTCCCATTTGATGATAATGTGTGTTTGAGAGAGCCCTGTCAGAACTACATGAAGTGCATCTCAGTTCTGCGCTTTAACAGCTCTGCCCCCTTCATCTCCTCGCCCTCCATCTTGTTCCGGCCAATCCATCCTATCGCTGGTTTGCGGTGCCGGTGCCCGGTGGGCTTTACGGGCGATTACTGTGAGACAGAGATCAACCTGTGCTACTCTAACCCCTGCCTGAACGGCGGAGTGTGTGCCCGCAGAGAAGGAGGCTATACCTGTATCTGCCGTGAAGACTACACCGGTGAGTGGGATAGAGAGCGTACAAATGTTGGCAAAAAGATCTGCAATCATAGTTTAAAAGATTTGAAATTTGTGTTTTAAAACTAACCTACTGATAATGCGTTGTGTTGATTTTGAGCTGCTCTGGTAGGCTGAAGTTGCTATAAAGTCTCCTATTTCCCAACCTACTCTCTTATATTAACTTGCTGATATTTCTTGCACAACTCCTACAATAAAAGAGTTCCCTGGAGTCTATAAAAGAAGTGAGGATTTGGCCATCAGCTTCATTAGGGAGCAACTGTAATGAAAAACAGTTTCCCATACATAAACACTGGAGGTAATTACACTCACAGCCATTAAACCTTTCAACACGCTACCTCTTTAATTTGTGTAAGAAAGAAGACGTTTGAATGTCCAGGAATGTCATAATAATGAAATCCTTAAATAATGGATTTGAATACATTTTTATGTTGCAATGATTATGAAACACTCAACACAAACTTTTAAAAATGAAGAAAACTAAAACACTTGCTGCTATCAGTTTAATCTGGTGAAATTCTGTATTGATATTAGACCACTCTTCTTAATGATTATTTGATTTATTTCTGAGTGCACCAGAACAGCTTTCAGCAAAAGAGACCCCAAGCATGACACTGCCACCCCTGTGCTTCTCAGTTAATAGGATTTGGTATTTCTGGAGGTGGCTCCTTTAAACATTTTCTCGTCACTGTGGTCTTGATAAACTGTCGATCATTTGCAAGCAGAGGCTTAGTTATTAATAACACTTCACAGTAAACGGTATAAGTTGTCTTCCAGCACCCTATCGTCTATGATTGCTTAGGTTTTGTTGGTTCCTGGATTGGTTTGTTACATTCGAGCCTTTTTTCCCTTCATCTGAGTGTCATATTTTACATTAGATGTACAATTTTGGACATAACTGTGTGTTTGAGCAGAACATTGATTCAGTTTCTGTTTAAACTGAAAGATGCTGTGTTGTAAATATTCTCTGCCTTTTCTTTTTTCCTGTCAGCTGCAATGTTGAATGGGTGGACCAATATTAAAACTAATATAAACTTTTCATTTTCTTATGAGATTGTTTTTGAATCATAAAAGAATCTGTGTATTTGTATCAGGAGTCAAGAAAAAAAAGAATAATTTAAAGAAACATCTTAACATGGCTATATGGTTAAAATTGAATATACAGTTTCTATAAATGCTTTTTACTTCTATATATAAAATCTAAGGAATTTGTATAGCTTTTTTTATTTTGATGTAGATTTTTTATACACACTGGAGAAAGACAGTACTTAACATTATTGATTTAAAGGTTGAAGGCAGTACAAAAGTAAAGAGCAGTGAGTGCATCTGTCTGTTTTGTTGTAAGTCTTTAAGTGTGCCCTGATAAAGTAAAGCAGACTGTCAGGACTTCTTTGTTCTAGTCCCACACTGACTTCCTTTTTGATCGCCTCTGTTTTCTCTCTTTTGTCATGTTGAGCCGAACAACATGAAAACACAAAGACTCAGCCTCATGGGATATATTCCTCCTCTCCAACTACCTGTTACTCTGTCTTTCACACAGATACACTCTCAGACATACACACCAATAGAAAGACTGTTGGTATTTTTTAATTTGTCCCCTTTTTGAAACCCAGAAACACAAGCTTTCCATCTTTCTAACTGTACCTAGCCCAATACACCAAACTATGTTCAGAGAGCAGCATTTCTCTTCTATGTCACTTTATTTTTCCTCAGTGATTGACTCGACGTAAGTGAGTATAGATGCTATGAATGTCTGGTTGTGTAGTTTCTATGTGAGTCCTGGGAATCTCCTTTTATTTTGATTCAAAAGAGAACTGGAGGAGTGAGGAGACACTTTTCTCTTTTCATGAGCAAGACGGAGTGTTTTCCAGCCTCCCACTGAGACAGATGGAAACAGATGAATGGAAAGATAAGAAATGAGGAGAGCTGAAAGAGAAGAGAAATGACAAAGTGAAAGGGAGATGGAGGCACTTGGGAAAGCTTAAGAAACGCAGAGAAATCCGAGAAGTTGAGCTGAGAGAAACATGAGTGGGAAGAGGTGATAAAATCTTTATTAGGAAAAAATAAAAAAGGAAATGAAGAATTTATTTCAGATCATTGGATTTAGCAGAGAAACTTTATTTATTGGATGAGAAATGCGGTAATTTTGTTGTCTGTAAATCCCAGACTGTCTGAGCGGATCGCTCTGAAACATGGCCACCAAAGATGATTCAAACCTCCAGACAGAGGACCAGTAGAAAATTTAGAATAATATATAACCATGGGATGGTTACAGAGCTGTAACTTTTAAATATGTGTCCCCAGAGGATGCTGAGATTTGTTGATGGGGTGGATTCTTTAAGAAATAATAAGAATTTGTTGATGGTTATTGAACTATGAGTTAAGAATAACCTCTTGGTTGAATGTTGTAAATGATTTAAAAACCAGTAGGATTTGCTGGGTATTGTTGGAGTCAACTAAAACAGACTGTAAGAAGTGAAGTTTGAAAATAAGCAGTAAAATTTGAAAATAACATATTTATCTCCATTCAATGCAGTGAACCGACAGAAGAACAATCTTACTAAATTCATTTTTGGAACTTAACCACAGTATTAGTTTCTTTGCAAGCTTTTTCTTCTTTTTTTTCTTTTTTTTACATGTAATCCCCAGTGGGTGTTGGTTGAGCACCTCCAAACTGTACTTTTTAATTAAATAAACTCCCCTGATTCTTAGCAAAGCCTCCTCATGCAGAAATGTTGCTTCTTAAGTTTCAGGGATCTGAGATCATAGACTTTCCCTACAGAATAGAGTTAAGAATACAATTATACAGTTATAGTTATGGGTTGATCTTTCTAACCTATTTGGGAAGACTACTTTCACATGTTGTAATTTATACTTCATCAGTCCTTTTTCATTTGCCAAAGTGAAAGATTTAGGCTTCCTTGCTCTACAGTTATTCCTATGTAGATTATAATCAGCGAATAGAAGCTGTCCTATGATTGTTTTCCTTAGGCAGCATGATGTTTGAGAATCAAAATATTGCTTAACATTGGTTTGCTGGTTTTAAGCTTGCACCAAAGACCCTAGAAATTCCACCAAATCTATTAAAACGTTGCATCTACTCTACTTAGCTACTTAAAAACATATTATAAAGACCAAATATGAGGCGTCATGAAGAGCATAAAGGTGAATGTATGTAAATTATTTAAGGATAGGCCAAACAAACCGAGAGATAATGAAAGACTCTGTTTGGAAGGAGAGAGTCGTGTATGACAACCTCATGAGCCATGGATGGAGGGAGATGCATGAACTGAGTGAGAATAGTAAAGAGGTAAAGCTGCCGGGCAAAATGGATGAAAAGAGGTGAGAGAGAACAAGGGAAATCAGACAGGGTTCTGGGCTGTTTTTGTTGCTGTTCTCTTCCTGCGTGGGTGCCGGGGTGTGTAGCATCTCGCCACTGCCCCGAGGCAAATAGAGGGAAAAAGGCGGACGACGAGAAAGAGTCAGGGACGAATTGATTCTGCAACTCCTAGAAATCTCCAGACATCAACCAACCGTGTTTGCTTTATCCTTTCAGTTTTCCGTCCGGCCCACCTTTACCCAACCCTGTTGGCTTTGATTTGGTTTTTCCCAGAAACTCCATGGATCGCTTTCACAGACAGGAGTTAAGCTTGGCCTGGGGTTTTCATCAAGTCTGGAAACTATAGTTTTCCACAGAGGGAGTTGTATTTTCAAGTCAAAAACAAAAGTCTGCAATAGACCTGAATCAGGTTTGATCTGCTGACAACTATGCAGGTGTTCCTTTTTAGCACTTCAGTCTCAGAACAAAGATTAGTAAAGTGCTGCGGTAAAAACCTAACAATCAAAAGAATATCTAAATGTCAGTCTAAATGTATTTCTCTCTCATTCAAGGAGGGCAAACTGTCATGGCAGTTTGCAAACAGGTGACCAGCCTTGTGTAGAAACTAATATATGCTTTGCTTATGAAAAGGTATCTGGTTAATAGTGTATGTAATGATACACCAATAATAACACTTGTGTAAATGCAGTCTCTGATTTTAGGAAGTTAAAAAAGAACTGTTGCACAATGTCCCTTTAACTCTCTCTGGAGCCAACAGTGAGGTTTTTTTCTTACTTCCTGTCACTGGCGGACTGGCATAATGGTGATAATGCAGGCTGTGCAAATACATACACAGGGAGCAATACAGGTCGGACTGAGCTCCTTATAGATGTGCTTCTTTAGCATCATGTTTGGAAAAAGTAGCAGTAATGTAGCTTCTCTACAGGATACATTGCTGTGACCTAAAAATAAGCACCGTAGGTAATGCCATTAGAGTCACATATTTTAATGGAAACATGTTTTTAAGAGGATATACTTTATTTTGGTTATAAAATAGCAAAGAAGGAGAAAAAAATATGATGAAATGTTCTACAGGCGCCAAACTAAAATTGTGAATCAAATTTGATCTAAATATAACATGCAGATCATGTAAAACACTATTGGAATAGTATGGAGTTGCACCACCTTGCCCTGATCTTTATTTCATTCGAGATATAAGAAAATAATGTCCTAAGATTTTAATAATAAGAGGTTTTTTTAATTTCCCAGCTTCGGTGAATGCAACATAGGCCCAATGGTATGAACACTCAAAGAGGAGTTTATATGGACTCATTGAGTATAGACGCCACACACCCACTGAAAAGCATGTGTGAGATTTAAACAAAGCACAGCTGATCAGAAAAGGGGACAGTTTGGGAGTTCAGATAAAAGTCTATAAAGCTTGACATCATGTTGTCATCATGAAAGAGCTGCCTGATATTCACATCATTTTGAAAACAAACCAGATTGAAATTACTTCTTTGTTTACCGGTTCCATGGAGGCTCTTTCTGCTCACTACCAGCCACCACAGAAGAATAATTATTAACCTTCTGCTTTCTTCTGTGACAACTGTAAATAGTATCAGTGCCAATAGCCAATAAAACACGATGCTAAACTCAGCAGC